GATCCACTTCGCCCATGTGTGAGTGAAAGGAGTGAAATGAGAAATGAAGAGAATGAACCACAATGACATATTTCACATTCACTCACAAACCTACTACATGAAATATTTCATTCACGCTCACTCACGAAATGATGGCCAACTCTTTCATCAGTAATTTTCATTCACACGAACCAAAATTCATATTCATTCACACTCATTCGTCCTCATACTCACGTCCGTGAATGAAAATGAACAGGTATGATTTTAATACGTCGATACGTGATAAACCAATCATCTTGGCATACCTACAGCATCATGAATTGACGTGCGTATTCGAAGCAGTATCAACCTTGCTATTTTTAAGCATAGTCTAAAATTCAAAATCACTCTTTTTAAGCATCCGCCAAATTGCGAAGCAACTTTTTTTAAGCATTCGCTAAAATTCAAAGCAACCCTTTCTAAGCGTTCCCTAAAATTCAAAGCAGCTCTCTTTAAACATGTCCTAAAATGCACCGATTTAAGGTAGTAGAAAATTTCGAGAAAATACATCAAAACACATCCAACACAAAGAAATAAAAATAAAATATAAAATGAACTTAAATTTCTCATTGAAATAAATGATGAAGGGGCCGTCTTATTAACACAACTCGAATATTTTGCTATTTCCAATACATGCGCATGTTTTTCCCAGCTTGTCCAAATCTGACGAAATCCAGCTTCGTTCATGGCCTTCATAACTGTGTCGATTGGCATGTAAATATTTGCAAGAACATGATCGAATTTTGTATAGGGTAAAATAACATGTTTCAAAACGTAGCATTTATATTTTCCCTTAAGAACGACATTTTCTACGTAAGAAGTGTAAGCTTCGAAGTGATCCGTAATAAATAAAATTGCACGTAGTGGAGTTTGCGGTGAAAGTTCGTGGAAAATGTCCTTCTCAACGTATGTTCTATTCATTTCGTATAAACTGACATTTGCATATTTCTCCAGCTTTTGTAGCACCAAGTCTGCCTTAAGTTGACCGAAGTGTGACGTTTGATTTTGCCCAGGTTTCTGAAACCAAATTTGGTACGAACTTTCTAACATGTCTTGCAATGATGTGAATTCCTTAAAATTCAGAAAGTCAAGAATATCCATTGTCATGTAGGTTGAATAAACCATCGACAAATATACCATTGGTGGAGAAACTACTAGCAAAAAGTTCTTAACCTTCACCCGTCTTGCATTATTGCATATGCCAGAAATATGTGACATTGTAACGTAAATAATATACGAAACTGACGCAAGGAGCCAAACTGTAACGGGAAATGGAAAAAACCACGGATCATACGTAGTGACCTCACTTCGTATAACATAATTACAATACAGCAGACTACATGAGCCAGAGTACGTGTGGGTGAACGTGTTCAAGGTGAAGAATAAGTAGCGGTTCTCGAGGACATGAAATCTGTAATACCCATAACCTTGTTCAAGGCGGGGTAATTTAGTCCATTCGATAAATGTGACATTTATTACTGAGGTGAGTTCCGCAATAATCCGAGTAGAATATGGACAATTCAATGTGCTTCTAGCGTAGGCTCCACTTGAGCACATCCGAGTCCATTTGGTATATGCATTTGTGTAGAAATATATACCCGGCCTCCAATCTGATTTGAACTTGATTGTGGAAAATGACGAGAGCTGGATATTTGTGGCTTGCTTGAAGTCAACTTTGCAGTAAGGACAGAAGAATAGGATGTGAGAAACTGCGAAATAGAATAGAAAGGTGGGTTGGCGTATATAAGGGGTGGTTTAAAGATCTCGCCAGAGAAGAAAATTATGCCAAGAGAAAGGCTGAAAAATTTAAATTAGCCATCAGGCATTTTTTCAACTGAGATTTTTATGGATTATTCAGCTAAAATATTAAAACTGTTGGAATGACACCTAGTGAATTTCACAGGCCAAACCTAGGAAATCCTACCGAGACATTTAAATTACCTTGCAGTAATTTATTTACAGATATGAGTTTTTAGATTGGCCAAAATTATTTAAGTTTACCTTTAATTTCGGCAAATTTTCGGGAAACGAGGATGTAAAAGAGCTTGACTGAGTGTCGCGAATCAGTTGAGTAGATTGGTTGATCACCCAGTATTTCTGTAAATACCAGCATTGTCGAGAATGCATTGGTACGATACGTGTCACCATGATTTATATTCAGCCTTCCTCGTTGCAGTAGTCTACCACTAGTTTTATCCGATTCAAAGAATAGGCTCAATGCGCACTGTTCCTGAAAAGTGAAATCGTACGGGAGTAGGTCGCGAGCATGAAGTGTTTCGTTGATAATACTGGTAGTCATTAAGACTAGATTGTTCTTATTATTGGCCTGCAGAACGTGCTCAAATACGTCCATGTAAAATATATCAGGATCAAATAAAAAGGCTTTAAATGTGCATTGCTGAAATTCAGGAAAGTAAAAATGTATGCTATCCGAAGGAAAAATAGTTAGAGAACAAATAAAAATTGTTTCCTGTAATATGTTCATTTCCGTCGTATCTGTATATAGGCGAAGCTGGATAGAAGGAATGTATGCTCTGGGGGTTGAATATATGTACTATAATACTGGGGAAGTATAACTTCCATCAAAATTTGATTCCCGCCTTCGTAAACTTTCCCAAACAGAAAGCCGGTAAGTGTATTTCGGATAATGTAAACTAATATACAAACATATAAACAGGTTAGCCAAATTCGTTCGTTTAATAATACACTCAATGGTTTTTTAGAGGTGGATCAATTATGCTTTGTAAGGCTTATGACATCCTTGCACAACTGACCTCGCGTCAATTCCACAAAGGACTGATCGCCAGATGTCCTGAAAGCGTATAAGTATTGATCTACTACATTGTAGTTATCATGCGCTGCCATATATGTAAACTTAATAAAATTCTTGGCATACTTAATTGTAGGGAAATTCCAGCAACTTAAATGAGTTTTTGTCTAAGAAAAGACTTATGAATAGGGATGGTAATCCGTATCCTAAATTAACCGATCCGTAGGATAGGATCGGATAAATACAGGATCGGATCGGATCGGATTTGCTCGCTTTAGGATCGGATCGGCTCCCGGTTCTACTCGAAATCCGATGCGATCCGATCCTAGGATATCCGCGGATGATATGTGTGAGACACCTTGTGTCTAACTATGGAAATACTTTACCAGCTGCTTTTCTTTATTTATTGGAACGGTTTTTGGTGAGTTCATCACATGGCGTACATTACCCGAATGAGCCGAATTATCCTATTATTTTACACCAGTTATTTTTATTTTGGCGTTCAAATTATTCAATTTAGTATGATTTCAACGCCAAAATAAAAATAACTGGTGTAGAATAATAACATAATTCGGCTCGTTCGGGTAATGTACGCCATGTGATGAACTCACCAAATGTGAAACGAGTTTACATCGGATGATCCGAGGATCCTGTGCGATCCTAGGATTTTATCGGTTCGGATCGGATCGGATTGTCTGATCCTCGGATCCTCTATCCGATCCGTGTGAAAATCCGATCCTATCCGAGTTTTTACGATCCTAGGATAGGATCGGTTACGGATTACCATCACTACTTATGAACAAGTGTAATTTATGATCAAGGGTATCATGACAGCCGTGATCGATAGATATATGTAATTTTGCTTAAACGCTGTGCCAATGACATGCATAAGAAGGTAATAAAGGAACTATAGTTAAATAAATTACATTTTCACTCCACCCTAGATTAAAGTATCACTATTTTCTAGTGAAATCTCTAATAAAATTGATAAGGAATAAACACTTAGGATTAGACAGTTCATACATATTTATGTACTATCCTCGTGTTTAGGCTTGGCACCTAATTTGCACATACATATCTCACTATGCTCATTTTCGGAGATACAAGCTTTCAATGTTGAATAAACTCTGTTTCTAGCGAATGCGTCAAAATATGCAAATGAGTTGCCCGGCTATAAAAATTCGATAGTATATAGATACATACATACAGGTGCAATCTATTTCGAAATCTATATATTAGTCTCTCGATTTTGATCCATTTATTCACATTAGGATTTCTTCGATTCGTCGTGAATACATAATTATTATTATGCATAAAATATACCCGACCCCTTTAGTTCCAAGATGGAACAACCCGACATAGATCACGTACTCAGAAATTGGAAATCGATAACCAAAAACCATTTATCATAGAATAGCTTTTAACGGTTTCCTTTAATTTACACCGAATTGAAATAGTTAACTTGAGCTTGAAGCATTGTATTTTCGGCTAATTCTTGAAACTGTAAGAAAAAAATGAGCGTAATTGGGTGAGATATCAGTTACACTTTACCATGTATTTACCTATGTATGTACATATATGTATGCAATATTGCTAAACAAATTGATATGATGATATCGATAATTCCGTATTAATCTTATGCACACAACAATGGATAACAAATTAATCCGAATTTTCTTAAAATCGTGAAGTAATTTAGAAGTGCAAAGTACTACATAAATTCATATTTACTCACTCATTTTCTATTTAAAACTTATTTCCAAATATTTGTACATACAATTTGCGTGCACAAATGCAATTCCAACCCAATCGGTTCTGCCCTCTTGGCTGTATTGTTTTTATGGAAGTCTTGACTCGGATTAAAACTGGAAAAATACCCACAATGCATATATTTAGGGGCAAGATTTGCATCGGATATAAAATCTGGCAGGGGCCAGTTCAAGTTGCAATTTATGTACATAAATACGTATAAAGTGCACTTTGGATTTTTACTTCCAACCACGCATTGTTTATATAAATACATAATTTCAGATACCACTGGCTTATATAAAATCCACGATGTAATATAAATATCTGGGCATCGAGCCCGGACTATGCAAATGTTCAACAAGGTATGCTAGATATGATACGTTATCAAGTAACAGCATAACCATAACTTTTACCTAATGTCTATGTAGGTAAGTTATTATACCACATTAATACTCCACTTGCATAACTAACATAATCCCAAAGTTACATAAATATATAAGCCCTGTAAACTGTCAGTAAATTTTTTTTGATTGATTTATGTATGTACGTTTGCCAGTTTTACATCGTTTTGCATACAGAATTTTAAATAAAACGGGCCTGGTTGGGCTCATATTTTTCACATTGAAATACTTGTTCTCCCCATAATTACGTATCTCTGAATTCTAGGAATACACATTGAAATGGGATTTGCAAATTTCTTTATTTTTGCAACGCTTGTAACCTCCGCGTTGAGCGCTGTGGTCCCAATTAATGGGGGAAAATATATTTTGGAAACGAGGGTAACCTTGACGGGTATTTTAAGCGTTAAAATCACGGCTGAAACGTTGGGCTGGATCGGGTGGGGGATATCACCTAGAGGAACGATGATGGGGTCGGACATGGTCATGGGGGGATTTAATGGAGCCACGGGGGAAGCATATATTGGGGTGAGGAACTTAACATCATATCAATATTTTGTGCAAACTGTTAGAAATCTTGTGTGGCCAGAAAGGAATTGGTTTCTCGGTATTAAAGTTGCTACCGTTTGATATTAAAATTGTATCAGTTCTTGAAAACTTGTCACCGAAATGGAAAACTGAGCTACTACACGGTATGACTTATCACTACCTCTTTTATAGAGTCACACATGAATTTTGCTTGGTATTATTTTATTACTGAATTTCTTACAGTGCACAGAATATTGAAAACATTGTTTAGAATTTTCAAGGAGAACTTAAAATTTTACATATACTTGATTGTTGTTCTGGACATTTAATTAGTCTAAGTGTAAATTGTAGGCTAATTTAATTAAGAAAATCTCTTACTCCAGGATCGCTACGCGTCTCATCCAGGCCTCCCAGAATTAGACAGGGAACAAAACGTTGAGCTTGTCTCTGCCTCTGAAAACGCTACCCACACCGTCCTGGAGTTCACGAGAGCTGTGGACACTGGCGATATAGATCAGGACCTTACAGTTGAGGTGGGCTTAAAAATTTTACAATAATTATCACCTCTGTTATCCCAATTTTTTGTAAAAATAGAACGAAGTCCAATTTATCGTGTGGGCCATCGGGGACACTGATGACCTCGTGTATCACGGTGTTGGTAGTCGTGGGTCTATTCAACTGAATTTGATGGATGGTTAAATCACACAAATTTCTTATTTCTGGATATAACAAGTCTTGTCCTCCTTAATGTGGTTGATTACTTATTTACGTAATAAAAATAAAATAGAAAGGATTTCCGCACTAAATATTCCTTAACAAATGTATTAAATATGTATTTGTGCACACAAACATAAATTTCTGAGAGCACATATTTAACTGATTCTGGATTTAGCACGTGCGATCCGTAGCAATAAAAATTGCATAATAGCTTACTAATTACCCTCTTTCATGGCTTAAAGTGAAGATTTCTTGGGCCGGATCAATTTGAATATTTAATTTTAGGCAGGGCAGATTTTTAAATAATTTATATCTTTTATACGTACATACATACATACAACACAGGCATGCATATATGTATATGCATATATTGGCAAATAAATTACGTGCTACCTTTTCATAAATGCTTGACATCAAACTAATTTGATACAGGAAAATCTAAAAAGATATGTACTGGTGTGGGATAAGTATTTAAATGTGAGTTCAATCATGACATGATTAATTCCTTCCCGAAAAATTGTACAGATGTGTGCACAATGAAATTTCTATAGAAATTAAAATTAACCAAATATGGGTATAAATTCCTCCAAACGAACGATAATACATACATACATACATCGAGCGGATGTACATACATACATACAAACTATTGTCGCGTCAGCAATTCATCTGCAACTATAATGAAACACTACAATGAATAGTTTACGTTGACGATATTTAAGCATGCACACACACGCAGCAAATTTTCGTACCAAATACTGCTTCTTAATTATGCACTAATAGTCTGCTACACATTCTGATCATTATTAAGTAACGCATTGTGCAGCCCTAACTAAAAAGTGGGTATGTATCACGTCATCCTACATATTTGTGTGCTTGTATGCATGCCGACACAAAAAAATCATGGTGATGATCTCGCTCAACTGCACATACAAATCTAGTTACGTATGAATTTAGTCATCTCATATAAACCACTTATAACCTCGGAACTTTATATCTGCATGAACCGAACACCTGACTTTGTGCACATTTTTTTACGTGCTTACAGAGATCTCGGATTGCAAGTTGTTTAGTCTTTTTTTTTGTTAATTTTTGCTGCCATGGAAATTTATTCCGTGGATGAAAATTTGCTCCACGGTTTAATCGAGCATGACGCTCTTCTCATAGAAACCTTGTCGTTGCTGCAAGCTAAAATTGTGGAAACTTATAATAAGACGAATACCCCGAAAACGATAGGAACTGGGATCAATTGTTTGGCGGCGGGGGCAAGTGTGGGGAGTATTTTGGGGGGAATGGCGTTAGCACCGTTGACCGCGGGGGTATCGTTAGGCTTGGCGGTGGGAGGGTTGGCAGGTATGATTTTATTGTGTTAAGAATTCTGCAAGAAAAAACATACATTTTCAAAACTTAACTGTGAGTTTTGGGCTTGAGTTTACTAATTTTTTTGTAACGTTGCATAAGTAGTTTACTGGGTTACAAATATGTGAGTACATAGTGTTCGAGTGACCCAGTTGAGATTCCAATGGTACGTCATTTTGCTTGGTAAACTTTGAAGATTGTGGAATCTAGATTTATTACATTGGTAAATTTTTGGAAGACATTTTGGAATTTGGAAACCCTCAAATATTACAAAATTTACACTCCTACGTACAACATATTTCGGTATAAAACTTGACGTGAAATATCCCAATATATGAAAACAGTGGAACTTGTATAGAGTATGCAAAATGCTTGCCAAAATTTTATATGCAAAATCAACATAAGTACTGAAATAATTCACGCCGTCTTTGGTACATTACATTGTGAAACCCGTAAATGCTGTACACTTACAAACTTTTTTAATTGTATAAATACCTGTAAAGAAAATTAGCTTAAAATTTTTTTTGAAACTTGCCCAGATTATGATGTTTCTTTATTTTTAAAAATTATTTTACAGAAGTTATAACTTCTGTAAACAGTTAACAGTTTTTAAAAGTTTATAGTTGCGCAGTTTCTCGCAATTTTTATTCTGTTTGCGTTTTAAAAAATCATCACTTAACAACCAATTTTTTATTATTTCACTTCAGGAATTCTAACTGGAACCGGGATAAACGTAGCGGCCGACTTATTTAAAGGGAAGAAACTAAAAGAACACTTAGCCCAATTAAACCTCCTCGCAGAAGAGCATGACCACCAGTTAAGGAAACTTGTCAAAGACCTAAATTCCGGAAGTGATCCACGAAATGAAATCTTAATTGAATATCTTCTCAAAGATTACAAAGTCAATAGCAAAGAAAAAACCTTCTCGGCCAGAAATCTCGCCACGGACGCGGTCACATTGACGGGTCGAGTAGGAGTAGTTTTAGATGCCAGAGAAGCCACCAAAATTCCACATGTCGTTAGTGAGGTACAAAAATTCTTACTTTTTTCTACATACATTTTGAGGCATTTCACTTCTGCCTTTGTAAGTCGGTAATGAAATAAGTTTACGAAGATCAGGTTACACACCAAAAAATATATCTTCGCAAATTTTTGTAAATTCATAAACAAAAATTATCTTTTATATCTTCTTTTATAATTATCTTTTATAAAAATTAACTAAAATTATCAAAAATTATACGAGACGTTCACTAGTTTCGTCAAAAGTTCGCAAGTCTACGTGGTTACGGATTTTGACGTGAAATGCTTCATTGTAATTCTTCCTATCCACAAATTTTTATATTGCAAAACTTAACGTGAATATGCCCATTGTAATGTAACGTTGATTTTTCTTTGTAAAGTTTTTGAAAAAATGCATTTGTATATTTTAAATTTACATAGTACATACATATGTACATGACTTTTTTTCTGCGTAACGTTCTAAACCAGATTTCGTACTGAATTTTATTTTATTTGAAGTATTTAGTTTTAATTTTCATCTCAACTTTTTCTACAGATCACTACAAATTCCGCCTCCACCGGACTGGTCATAACGGGGGCGGCGGTGTCTACCGGTCTCGCAGTGACTGGGGCAGTAGCATCGATAGGATTTGCGGTGTGGGATGTAGTTTCACTAATTCGAAAATGGGGCCAAACCCCGACTGCCGATACCGTGGAGAAATTACGATTAGAAATTGAAAAGGAGAGGGACTGGTTAAAGAAATTTTTTAATGTGTGAGTGATGTCTGTATAGAAACTGAATAATTGTGATACGATATTGACAGGGTTTGCTAAATACATAAGTATTAACATTTTTAATTAAATAATTTTAAATGGAGATTAATTAAGTAATTTATAAACACAAACCCTAAAATAAAATAAATTGCCTAAGTGCATATAAAATTATTTATTTGATTTCTTAATCATTTTAGTATTTAAGTTATTATTTTAAATTTTAAATGATACCATAAACGTATCAAATTTAATTCGACAATTCACAAATCCCTTGGTAACATTGTAAAATCCCTAAATTCTCTAAACTTTCAAACTTTTACTAATTTTAGAAATATTTCTGCGGAAAATTAGCCTACAAATTTTCGCAAACTTTTTTTTAACGTCAATTGCGTCTTTTTATTTTGTAAAATTATGTTACAAGACGCACGCATTTTGCAAAGGTACCAGTAGCTGCGTGAATTTCCTCAATATTTAGTACATAGTTGATTCATAAGTTCCCGCACAAGCATTTCTGGTGATAATTCCCAAAGTATTGTAGATATATGTTAGAATTCTTTATGGATGAACAAGGCACTAATATGGTTTAGAAATCATAACTTCTTTTTCAACATTTCCTCCAATGGCTTGCACGCAAGACATAAGTCGTGACGAAAACTGCACGATCGCGGCACGCACGGTTTTCATGGGAAAAGCGCCCAGATCTTCAGTAAGTATGACCTCAGGCCTTTAACGCTTTTATGAGACTTAGAACATATCTGTATCTATAATTTTTACCACCAGTCATAATTTAGGGGATTAAGGTCTGCAGATGCTGAAGGCCGTTCCATCGATGAAAAAAATTCATAAAAATTCGCCCGAAGTCAGTTTTGGACAATTTTTGCACTATTCTCAGCAGCAGAGCATAGTTGAAAGTTAAATGTTATTTTTCGAATAGTTCATGGCCCAGGGGTTTAACCATTGGCTCAGGGGCATTCTGAAAATAATTCTTGACCTGAATTTTTATTCCTTGCGGTGAAAAACAAGGATTTCCTTTCTCCAGCCAACTCGCTTCCTTTCACACCATGTTGGTGACTTTTTATTTACTTCCGCGTACCTAAAGGGATGTCAGACGTCCGTAGAGCAAATATCTGTCCAATCAAGGAATCCTCACTGAAGGAATCCTTTCTGAAAGGCATGAACACTTTCCCATGAAAAAGGTGCGTGCCACGAACGATCAGCCACCGTCCCGACTTATGTCTTCTGTATGAGCCCCTGGAGGAAATCTTGAAAAAGAAGTTATGATTTTTAAACCATATCAGTACCTTGTTCGTCCATAAAAATTTCTAACATATATCTATAATGCTTTGGGAATTATCACCAGAAATGTTTGTGCGGGAATTTATGAATAGACTATGTACATACCCCCAGGAAATGACATGACAGCTTTTGCCTGTTCATAAGCATTTCCATCCTCTTCACGTAGGCTCCTTTTAATTCTTCCAGTGTCAGTTGTTGAAGTCGTGGAATTTATTTTGACCTCATCCCCACACTGATAAACCTTCCCAGACATGATGTTTTCCTTATACATATTCTTCCGGTGTCATTTTATTTTGAATCGTGTACAGCAAATAATCCGGTGCGGATGAAGCCGTGAACAGTCCTCCGTCCCGGACAGAATTGCAACTCAATCGTTGACCGCATTTGGGGACGAAGCGACCCAATGTGGTGCATGTTGAAAAATGGTCATAAAATACTTATGACTTACGATTTCCAAGGAAACTAATTCTCTTAATTTTATTGGGATGGTTGATCATGTCATCTACCCATAAGTAAGTCATGGCGATGGAGATGATGCCATAGGTCGGAAATTGTTATTAATTCAAGGGTTAACCTATGTACTTAGGTTAGTCAGGTCTGGTAAAAATAAGTATTTGTCATTTTGAGACAGAAACATTACGATAATAATTATTATATGTACATACATTATTGTATGTATGCAAATTTAATAAAATTTCCTAAAATGTCTGCAATATTTTCATTTAAAGTATTTCATTTTTGTATAAGTACCTATGCAATATATTTATTTAGACACTTACCGTAGTTCCCACTCCAATTCTGAGGGTGGCCTGTTTCACGTTGCGACATCAATACACCGACATTTTTAGTGAATGGTAAACGTACATACATGAAGATTCATGTGTGGGACGGCAAAAAGTCTATTACAACTGACATTTTATTCTCTCCAGTTCCATCTCAGTACTGGAGCATTTTGTAAGTGACGAGTTGTTATCGGAACAAAAATAATAGTCCACTGAATCACAATTTGATCCTTTGTGAGTCGCAATGTTCTCTATCTAGTCTAGTTCTTAAACGATGACGTTGCACAGGGGCCAAACAAAAAGCATGTATGTACTCTCCATCCATGCAGGATTAAACTTTTACAGAAATTGAGAATTATGAGAAACTACGCCACTGCCAGTCTCAAAGTTCCCCGTCAGCACAATTTGAGCGACTTTGAGAGTAACAGTGGCGTATTTTCTCAGAATTCTCAATTTCTGTAAAAGTTCAATTCTACGTGGATGGAGAGTAATATATACCGTGTCCCAGGGAAAGTTAGACAGTGATCCATGACCTGTATAGTCCAACCTGGTTAGAATATTTTTATAATATCTTCGGTGCAGGGTAGGTGGTAATTATACCAACCAGTTTTTGTCCCGGGGGATTTGTGACAACCCCTTCTCCGCCTCCTATCCGACTTTCCGCACCAACCCTCGAATTTGCGGTTTTCCACTCGCTTGCGAAATGTCCTTGTTGATTTTTCCCAATTAACCTTTGAATTCTTGCAGCTTTTTCGCATTGGCGTTTAGGTTAGAGTATCTTGTTCTACAAGAGGCTTAAAACTTTTCGATTCGTCGCAATTGAGGGACATTTGAGAGGTTATCGTTTTAAAGGGCAAAATCGACACATTCAACCCGAAAGTGCTCATTCCAAATTTTTGTGTAATGGGAGGTTGCGACGTCCGGCCAAGGTTAAATTTCATCCAGATTATGACGTTTCCTTATCCAGAGCTGTGACCGCTTCAAACAGTCGTCTTTGTTAACTTCTGTATTTATGGTACCTTTTCAAATATAAGCTGGTGAAATGTTGTCAAAACTGTCCGGCCCCATCCAAACTAGGAATTTCACAAGGAGTTTGGTTTTCACTTTAAATTCATGTTGATATTCCACGTCAGAGGGGTTGGCCGAGTGAAAAAATTTCCATCCCGAAGTCTCTGAGAGATCAACTTTGCCGTAGTTGGCGTCATAAATAACATTAATTTTAGTGACATTTGTCGACATTCTTTTTTAGATTTTTTTGAAGTCTGCTTTTTTGGCCCTTAACGTACTTTGGGAAACTTTGTTTATTTTTTTCCGTAATCCTCAGTTTATGAACTTTACTGTTGCGGAGCAAACATTTTGAAATTAGCAGTACCCGAGCAGCGCCACAAGTTTACGTGGAAGAGTTAGTGCTGAAAAGTGTTTTTACGTCTTTCGAGTTTTAATTGGTGGCTATGAAAAGAGGTGGCCTGGAAATTTTTAAAAAGTGCACTTTTTGGCATTCTCATACCTCGAAATATAAAGGTAGGTTGCCATTTTGTGATACCTTTCCACGTTGAATTACTGCCACGTTATGTTCGAGTCACGTAAAGTGTCAATTTTTTAGTTGTGAAAAACTCGTTTTGCGAATTTTTCACCTTGACCCCGATTTCTATTGAATTTCGTCGTTTTAATTAAAAATGCTTTACACCTGCTGGAAGCCCTTGAAATTGCGTTTCAAAAAATTAAGTTAGCTAAGCAACAATATCCACTAATTGCGCAGTAAACTACATAATCAAACTGTCTAACCAAACCTGGGACATGCCTTAGTTGATGTAGCTAGGCATTTTTTTAAACTCGTATCCAGGTTACATGAATGTACGTAAGTTTTAGCAAAATCAGCATGTTCATTATAAAGCACAGATTCCTGGGGAGAATTAAGCGCTTGATATCTCGTCTATTTATTTGAGCAATACTGAATTAATAATATTCAAGTTTTTTTGCCGGCATAGTTTTTATTCCTCACTTCTCAAGTCTGACATTGTACTTTGTCCAAGGTCATACCTGTGCAAGTGAGTTTCGCTTCACTCAATTTCACTCATTTTTACCTCGAGTCAAACTCCCTTCACTCCCCTCACTCGCGTGAAGGAAGGCTGAGTGAGGCTTCACTCACTGACAAATCTCATTCGCACTCCTTCATTCCCTTCACTCCCTCATTCGTTACACGTCACTCATTCCCCTCACTCATCTATTTCCTTCACTCTTTCTTTCAATCAATTAAGTCCCTCGTGTCATCATAATTAAAATATTTTGGCGCCATCTAGTGGGGTAACGTGAGATTTGACTGGGACAACGTGAGACTGGGCTGGGGCAACGTGAGACTAGACTGGGGTAATATAAGACGGTACTATGTTAATATTGCCACGCTAATTTCAGCACGTATACTGATTATCTATCCTATATTCCTTCACCCTTCTTCCCCGGAGACGAAAGAGTGAAAGAGATGAAGCCTTCATCTCCTTCGCCCTTCATTCCACTCATTTCTCATTTGGGCCTCCCTCACTCACCTTCACTCACTCGATTAAAGTTCTCAATTCCCTCACTGAGTGAAGCTGCACAGGTATGTCCAAGGTACATATGTATATTATGTTCAGTGTGTTTTATGCATGGGTTTGTTTTGATTTCATTCCTGCTGCATTGTTTGGGCGAGAACACTGATAAAAAATGACCTTAGAAAGATACATGCTTGCAATCCATGTTAAGAACTTACACAGATTCGTCCTAATATACGTACATATTGCAAGTACATAAAGTTCTATTTTTTGCTATTTCAAATCAGTCATTTCTACTGTAAGCATTGAGCTTTAGTCACAAAGTTATGATTACTATGCACCACAATGGAAACAGTTGGAAGCGGGGGACACGTGTTAATAAAAACACTTTTTTGCAGATCTCCAAATCAACGCAGAATTTACCTGTATAACGATGCAAAGTTGCCTTAAGTTCGTGCATTCTTTAATATGAAAATATTTAATACATGCATATGTAACTTGCAAATTTTCATGACGCATCGTACCCACTACTCTGAGACATTGTGCAGAAAATGATTTCGCAAAGGTTTACTTGTTACTAATTTAGTTTACATGGAACCACGTGACAGTATAGAAACTATTAGAAACACACGCTCACTCCATAGCACCCCTGAATCTATACAAATAGTTCAGCAACCTGTAACCACATGAAGGTTGTGAAAATCAAACAGATTGTGATTTATGCAATTCAATAAAATGGGGAAAACTTGTTGCTGCACGTTACAACAGGGAACCGCTATCATTGGGACTCTTTGTATTGTAAGTACATATCTTTAGTCCAGAGCCTATGGAATTTTTTAAACAATAACGATTATCAGGGCATTGCGAAGAAATATTTGAGTGTATATTTTTTACCGAAGAAACAATTCGTAAAATCCGAAAGTTTTGTGAACCAATTTTACTAACTTTTACGTCATAAAATACGCACTTAATCTGAGCAAGTTTACAAAAATTTGTAAGCTAATTTTCCTTAAAAGGTTTTGCAAAGTTTTATAAAAGCTTGTTATAGAAGTTTACAGCATATAGGTTTTACCACGTTACCAAAGTGTGCGTGAAGTAATATAATATATTTATGTATGTTTTGTAATAAAATTTAAGGTTGGGAGCATCCTTACCGTTATAGTGAATTCTTTCTGGATCAATACCATCGTCAGCAATGAACGCATTAAGCCGCAGAAACATTGTACGTGTATTTTTCAAATGTCAAGTCTGTATTCAAATAATATCCGACAGTGTGTATCAAAATTATTGTACCATAGAAAAACTCACATATTTACCAGAATAACATCCTGAAAATTTGGAACGTGATAGCCCAGAAAACTTGTTTTTAGATGGCGTTTCTATTTTTGAAAAATGTGAAAATGATCAAAATTCACAATTTCGCCGGAAAAGTTATCGTTTCAACTCCCATATTGATTTTTTCCTTGGCTGTTCGACTTTGTAATCGATAGCTCAACTCAATGTGAGCATTTTGATATGTTAAGACACAAATTGTACCATTTTTTGAACAAATTTATGAATTTTTCAATAATGCGAATTTCCAAAATCTAAGAATGGCAGTTAGGGCGAATTTTGAAAAGCAGTTAAAATTTCAAAAATTTATTGGATTTAGATTAATTTCTAATTTGGCATATGTCGAGGCAATGTTTTTCAAACTTCGGTCACCCTCCGGATTCCTTAAGCTCAAGTGGTCAAAACACACAATGTAAATTACAAAATACACAAAATACGCAACGTGCAAAATTGTGTAAATATGTAATTTAAAATTGTAAAATTGTAATTGTAATTGCAATTGAAATTGTAAAATTTAAAATTGTAATTTACACAATGTGTGTGTACACATATCTCAAGATGACCTTTGAAAATTCTGACTAAAATTTGGAGAGTTACAGAAATTTGAAAAATAACGCTTTTTCAACTGACTAATACTTCCAGACGGTCTTTTCCTCATCCTCCCTTGTATCGGGATTGTCTCGGGCGTCGTGAGCTTTATCCTGGGTTCTCTCATGGTGTACGGATCTATCATTGTAAGTCGTCTAAAAACCCACACACTCTTAGGAATTAGTAATAAACGATTACTGGTCAAATTAACCGTATAGTAATGTACATGCTAATCAAAAATGTAAATGTCTCAGAATGAAATTCACGATTGTCGAAATGTCGATCGAATTATATCAAGAAATCAGGACAAAAATTAGGGATTATATGATACTCATATTCCAGTTGAAAGACCACTTTGAAGAAAAATATTGGCGGCAAAATTCAATTTTTGAGTAAATTTTCTCTCGCTTTTTCCTCACGTGGCGAAAACCTAGGTCGACTTGTGAACTTTGCCATCAATATTTTTTCTTTTCAACGGAAAAGTAAGATTTCTAATTTTTAGCCTGATTTTTTGATATAACTGGCTCGACAATACCAGTCTGTTTGAAAAAATGGTTCCAGTGTCGGAACCAAATTATTACCGGTTCGGTAAGAATTTACTGCCGAATCAATACGGGTGCGGACTATAAATTTATATATTTAAATATGTGGCTTATCGGGTTTTTAGAGTCTAGCGGTTTTTAAAAGTTTTCCCAAAATTGAATATATAACTTATGTACTTTGCAGCGCAATCGCCGCTTCATCATCCCGTGGTTGGTGTGCAGCTATGTTATCGTTGTACTACTCCTGGTCGTGGGAGCGATGGGGACGTTTAATGTCGTCTTTTATGGAGAGATGGATCATGTCGAACAAGTTTTCCTCGTCATCTTCAGTGGGATTATCCAGACATATTTTATTTCCGTTGTGAACAGATTCGTCACAGAATTGAAAGCAGAAGCGGATAATTGAAGTGTTAGCAAAATAGAAATTGGAACTCAAACCATGTTCAGACCAGATTATTTTTGGCTATTTTAGTTTGAAGGGCAACTCCTTGGAACATTTAGTCCGGCACTTGCGCAGATGTGAACAATTTAGTAACTTTTGGTCCCCACCAAGTTCGCAGAGACGATCGGTTCTCCGATGACTTGCTGCGCTAAAAGCTTGCTAAATTTTTCGAATCTACGCAAGTCTAGCACTAAATGTTGTTTTAAGGAGTTGCTCTTTTAACTTGACATCATCATTACTTTTCGATAGATACGATCTGCCAAGTTGCAAAATTTTATAATTTAAAAATTTCCTCATCTGCGGGTGATAATATTGATATGATATTATGATAATAATTTATAAACAAACCTGTAAAAATAAATTACCCAAAACTATTTAAGTATTTTTTCTCGGTTTCAGTAAAGTCAATTATTTTTTTAATTTAAAATGATATCTCAAAATTTGAGACCCAAACACATATGTTTGTATAAAAACTTTAACGATGCAATTCACTCATGCATGGGTAACATTCTGCAAACTTACAAACTTAAAAAATTACAAATATTTAAAAGCTTAAATTTTTTTGTAAAATTACTCAGATCAATGTTTCTCTTTACATATTTTTTAAAACACTTATTAAAAAAAGCACAAACTTATTTTATGAATTACAAATGCCTACGTGAATTACTTTAATATTTAATTTGTAGCTCCCTGAGGCGACATGATGGCTTTTGCTTGTTCATAAACGTTACCCTCTTCTTCACGAAGGCTTCTTTTAATTCGTCCCGTGCCAATTACGGAACTCGTGGAATTTCTCCTGATTTCATCCCCACAGCGACAAACCTCCCCCATCATAACGTTTTCCCTATATTCTTCCGGTGCTATCTTATTGTGAATCGTATACAGCAAATAGTCGGATTCGGATGAACCCGTGCATAATCCTTCCTCCCGGACAGAATTGCAACTTAGTATTTGTCCGCATTGGTTCACGAAGCGACCAGGTATGGTGCATGATGAAAAATCACATTGCGCACCACGCGACCAGCGGCACACCTTTTCCCCAGTCTCGTTATCCCATAGATCGGATATTTTGCGTCCTCCGGCCTCCGCGTACTCCGGCCATGCGTACTCCGGCCTCCGCGTACTCCGGCCTCCGGCTGGCCACGCGTACTCCGGCCTCCGCGTACTCCGGCCTCCGGAGGCCGAAGTACTCCAAGCCCGGAATTCTCCTATCTATGCGATCGGAAATTTTGCGTACTCCGGCCTCCGTACTCCGGCCTCCAGCCGGCCATGCGTACTCCGGCCTCCGGCTGGCCACGTGTACTCCGGCCTCCAGAAAAAGTCGCGTACTCCAGCCTCCGGAGGCCGAAGTACGTACTCCAAGCCCGGAATTCTCCTATCTATGCGATCGGAAATTTTGCGTACTCCGGCCTCCGTACTCCGGCCGACCATGCGTACTCCGGCCTCCGGCTGGCCACGTGTACTCCGGCCTCCGCGTACTCCGGCCTCCGGCTGGCCACGTGTACTCCGGCCTCCGCGTACTCCGGCCTCCAGAAAAAGCTGCGTACTCCAAGCCCGGAGTACTCCGATCTATGCGTTATCCACTTCGGCAAGGTAGCTACTTGGTTTGTACTTATCCCCAAGAAAGGCCTAGTGAATAAGTAAGATTCAAAAAGTTTAGGTTTTGTTTGAAGGTATAATTTATTCAAAATTGTTTTTTTGTTTAGTTTTTAATTTTTTAAACAGGCTTTCGATTTAAGGTAAGACCGGTTCTAAAACTTTCATTAACTTCTGATTTTTCTCCTATTTTAAATTCCGGTGGATGATGTATATTGACGACAATTTTTAAATGGATGGAGATGATCGGAAACCCTTACGAAATTTAAAAAATCGGAAAAGTATAAAATAAGTTTTACTAAATTTTCCAAACTCCAACTAATGGGGAAGCTCTTTTACGAAACAAATTTTCAAAAATCATAAAAATTGTCATCGAGTTTTTTAAAATTTTCCAATTTTACATCCCTAATTTTTTATCCAAATTTACATAGATACACTGTAACAAATCTGCTATATAAGGTCAGGCAAGTATTGATCTCTCGGTATTACACTTTCTGCAGCCTGGTATGCAAACATATACATACATACATATGCACATATTCCAATTATACCGGTCGGTAAAAGTTTCATTCAGATAATATCGTAACCATTCAATACCGAGCTGTTACCCCACAGTAATACCAATTTGGTACAGTAATACATATGCAAATATTGTTAGATATTATTTTAATACCAGATTTCCAAAAGTGTGTTCAATTTTTTTGTACTTTACCTGCACATTAAATTCTCCACAAACGCATTTTTCCGTCGCCTTATCGCACACTAACATACTCGATCCTTTGCAGTAAGTCCTGCGTTTCTCTATCGTGCTGGAGACGATTTGGTCAAAAATCTTGTCAGCTTCTTTGTCCATTATGCCGAATCGCTTCCACTTTGCAAACATGGTTAAACGGTACGACTCATCATCCCAGTGTTAGGTATATACGTAGTGTTAGGTACATACATAGTATGCAAAATGCAATGTAATAATGCAACCACAATTATTATTAATAAAGCCTTCCTAAACTACACATCTCTCCTCTCTCATCTCTCCTCTAAATGCATACATAACATTGGTGGACCTCCAGAGTACTTTTTCTCCTCTGACTGCCAAGAAATTAACTTTTACATACATAATCTCTTAAAGTGCAAATTATACAATTTATTCAAAATTAAGTACACATCCTTTCCTGACAAACATAATGCAATTTTTCCACGACGATGCCCCTTTGGAACTTTTTCAGTCGACGCACTGACCCCTCACCTCCCCCGTCAAACCTGCTCGCAGCTCCCGAAAGTGTATTTGTTTCTGGCCGACGTTTTAGCCATTTACGTGACCCTATTGACCCTGCCTCTGACCGTGATCACCAGATCGTCAGCCCCACAGACAGTTCTCAGTGCGGTGTTGTGACTGATGACTTTGGAGATACCAATAGTGATCCACTTCCGCTATCGCACCTCCCCTCGGCCCCTGACCCAGATCATTCCGCGTCGAGCATCCTCCCTGGAAATATAAATGATAATTTGTTAAACAACCAGGTGCGTCCTCCTTCCGTTACTTTTATACGCGAGAATCAGCCAGTGAACTTCGTACCAACCCCGGAACCTTCGCGTCCCCCAAACCCTCCTCCCCCACCCCCAGCCAACACATTTTTCTTCGGACCAAGAGCATTAAACCCAGACGCAGTTTTTCGGTTTCCGTCCTCTCCATCCCCCTTCATCCGTCCGCCCCCGCCAAACCGACCTCCAGTTCCTCCTCCCACTCCAGCAGCCGCCACCGCTAACATGGCCGCGAGGAATTTTTTTACCGGTAGCCCTCCACAACCAGCTCCTCTGGTTAATATTAATCTCGAAATGCCAAAATATGGACATGAACTATCCAAGCTCGGACTTCGACTTTTTATTCAGCGTTTCCAGCGCTGGGCGGAAGCAAAACGCTTAACTGTTCCTCAAGCCAAATTAACTCTTCCCTTGGCTTTCTCCAATGCCACTGCCCAACATTATTTCATGATCAATTTCGCGGAACAAGACAATCCAGCCATTGACTGGGCTACCTTTATTAACAATTTTCTGACCAAATGCCCAATGGAGGTTGATGATCATACGTCCGTCCTGGACCTCTTAAAGTCCCCAAAACCAGAGCTCGAGAAAGCATCGGTTTACTTGCAACGACTTCGCGCTGCAATGTTTGAGGAATACACACGCCATGCAGAACCAGATATCATTCGACTCCTTATGGACAATTTGGACCCTTCCCTACGTCAATTCCTCGAGTGCAAAGGACCTCCTCTGACTTATGGTGACTTAGTGTCACTTGTGAAGCATTATGAAGACCGTGGCCTGCAGAAAACACTGACCCCTCAACTCCAACCGCCCGTAACGATTATCTCCCCAACCGCTCCCCCTCAATCTGTTGGACTCGACGCATTCGCTGGCCTCCACCAGGCCCCAGTAACCCCACTAGCTCCGCCCACGGCTCAGCCTAAGCCCGTGAATAATGCAACTGACGGAGGCCTGTCACTCGGAGTGAATTTGACCAATGTTAAGAATATGCAAGGTCTGCTTAATCACCTTAGCGATCTACAAGCTGCTATCATGCGCCTTAATGTGTCGCCCTCCCAAAATCACGGCTCAAGATCTCGCCCAGATCAGTCCCAGGATAATCGTGCGCCTCGTCCTAACGGACAACGCCCCTCATTTGAATGTTACTACTGCGGCATCCGCGGACATAGAATTATAGAGTGTCGCAAGAAAATGATGGCCTTCAACTTAACGGCCAAGGGCGTGGTCGCAATGGTGGGTATCGTAATAACGATACTTTCCGGTGCTGGCTACCGCCGCGATAACCGCCGCCGCGACGACTCTCCTCGTGACCACCGCCGTCGCAATGACAACCGTGGCTACCGTCGCCGAGATGACTCCCCCCGCGATCAGCGTCGCAATTCAGACTTTCAGCAACGCCGCCATGATGAATCTCCCCGTCGCCGTGACAACTTCCATCATAATACTACGGATCGTGACGACACGCGACGTGAAAACCATCAGTGGGATGAGCGTTCAACGCGTACCCCTCCCGGTTCACCGCCCCCGTCGGGAAACGCCCGGCTTTGGGCAGATTGATCTGCCCACCATCCCTCAAGCCTTTAAAATCTATTCTACGTCCATCGTCCCCCTCCCTTGACCCTGCTGGACCCCGACATGTCACCTTTAACCAAAATACGATTGACTTACGCATCAACCTACAGGATTTCTCTGCTAATCATGGTCCCGTAACAATCGACACTTTTATCAATAATCAACGAATCACTGCAACAGTCGATAATGGTGCTAAAGCCTCAATCATCACAGAAGCCCTTGCTGTTGGTTTACCCCGGATTAACCCAAATTTACCTTATCGACTGTCGGATTTTGGCAATCATACAATTAGAGATTGCGGTCTGGTCATTCTACCTCTCAAAATTGGCACCCGACAAGTGACATACCCGTTTTTCGTCGTTCCCTCATCACCATGTCCTCTTCTCCTTAGGCATGATTTTCAAGAACATTTCCTTCTGTCCAGCAACGAATCCTTTCGCTGTTTGATGTCTCCTATCCTTGGTTCCGTCCCGTATACAAGCGCCCCGCAACGATTATTCCATTCCTGCGATAACAAAGAAATTATGCAATCACTAAACAGAAATATGGACATGAAATTACTTGATGCGTCTCAGCGGACTCCCGCGACACAACCAGAACAACCCCCCAAACCCCAACCACTTCTGCCATCCCTAACAATTTCACCAGCAGCCTCGGGGCCCTT